CTGTGTTATCTTCACAGGTCACCTTGGTATTCAGATGGTCTGCGACAGAGGAAGCATGAAGGGAGGAGGCTAAGTGCCAGTGGTGGAAGTCACACTCTAAAGGTGATCTGCTGTGACCCAAAAGCTTTCTGACATTCTTTGCCTTGCTTCTGATAGAGAGGAAGAAACTCTTCTTCTCCACACAGTGTCTGTAAAGTCCCAGCAAGTTGCTTCCCTCCAGAATGTCGAGTTTCCAGCTCCAGGAGATTTCTTACCTGCTTCCCATGTGGAAGTGGCTGCAGGATTAGTCCCATGGGAGGACTTGGCTCTGGTGCTGGGATCACATATGATAACTAGATGACTGTGTCAGGCCCATTTGCAGACTCATGCAATAACCTCTCTCACTTAGATTTTTCTCATTAGATACTTTTCCTCTGTCTCATTCTCTGAAGCTGCTCGGAAGTGTAGCAGCAGAGGATATGGTTTGTGTGCTCTGCTGCCTGCTCACACTGGTGGATGTGATCAGTCTCTGTATTAATTACCACAGTTCCAGCACATCTTAAGTGACTCTTTGTTCACACACTCACCTCTGCTGCTGGTAAACCTGTTCCATCCTGCCTTGAGCTGTTTTGGAGGCAGGTTACTGTGATGGGAGTCTGGAAATAGGAATGACCACTGAGCTTTCCTAATGGATGGGGTCTGCTCATTCTGCTTTTGTGCCAGGTTGGACTCTCAGTGTCTTAGGTCTTATGAGGGAGCACTTTCTCCACCAATAGACAGGCTGTGGTTCTGCTTCCCATCCCCATAACTGTACACCAAATTCTGCCTGAATAGCACTTGGACCTGAGGATTTCCATGTTTTCAGTGTACTCCTCTGCTCTTTGCATGTGCACAGCTGAAGGATCACCTCCCGCCTTAAGCCACACTCAGGGACTAAGTGGAGGCAACAACTAAAAATGAAAAGGCAGTCTAGAGAGATAAATCTTCAATCAGAATAAATTAGAAGGCCTAGGTTATAAAAACAAAAATGAGTGAAAGGTAGCAAGGAAACACCTGTGCCTAGCAGAGAAGGACAGTAAGAGGAATATTTGAACTGAAATGACAAAGTCTGCATCCAAGCAGCTTGCAGACCACCTGCAGCATGTATGGGAAGCCTTGCCAGGGCTGATTTGGCCATGGCCAGCTCTGGTTTGGCCATGGCCAGCAGTGAGTACATACAGGGTCAGCTTCTCTTGTTGGGCCTGACTTGAGATCTCTCTCCACTGATCTAGCAAATGTTTTCCTTAAAGCAAATCCCTGGTTCATCTGAATCCTTGCTGCTTGGCATCGTCTTGACCATGGTGTGTACAACTGCTTCAGCCATGCCAGTTCTATGTGGGCTGCTTCAGTGGCATTTTAGGGCTAATTAAAACCTTTACATCGGTGCCCTGGGTTTCAGGTACTGTTTGAACTTTCCTCTTCTCCACAGATGACTGTGACAAGCCCTGGGCACTGGAGGTGAACAAGGGAGCTGTACAGGACTGCCTGTACAGGGCAGGGCAGGCTGTGGCTGGGTACACAGGTGGTCCTCACTTGTGCAGAGACAGTGAATTAGTAACTCTAGTCATGGAGGTGTTAAATTTCCATCCTATAAGCATAACACTACAGTCCCTATTTGGCACCTTATGGTCAGATTCTTTGTGTGTCAGATTCTCTGCGTCCAATGGGTCTTTGTCAGACACATTAATCTTTTTTTTTTTTTTTATATAGGTGCTACTACCGTCTCACCCTTTTTTTCTTTTTAAAGAGAGAAGAAGAAATTAATGTCATGTCCTCCTCTTACTGCTCATGGTCATCTCTGGTTTGGCATGGCAGCATTTGCTCCTTGCAAAGCGGGGGGAACAGCAAATTACACCTCTCTCGTGTTTCTGCAGCAATGGGCTACAGCTGACCCTTGTGCCAGGCTGTTAGCAGGGGAATCCTCTCAGGCAGGACAGGCATTAGAGGTTTTCCAGTGTTATTTACTAGCCACATCCACTCAAATCCATGGGGAAAGCAGCACAGGAGGGAAGGGGTCATGCTGCTGTTTAATGAGCTCAGTAAATCACTGAGGGGATTTTTGTCCCCTTGCATAGGCCCCAGTCAAGACTCCTCTTTCCCAATGCAGGCATGTTCATCTTCACTGAGCATGTGAATTGTTGGTTTTCAGGCTTCATTTCCTTGGGTTCTGTCACTGGCACCAAGTGCCATTTTTGACAATCAAAACTGGTGGTAGACCTCCTGCTCCTGCAGTTGTCCCAGGCAGGAGCTGAGCCCTGCTGCCACGTGAACAAACCAGAACCCCGGCTGTCCTTGGGCAGGGTCTGCCTGGGGCCTCTTTCCACTCCCAGCCCTTCCTGTGCACGTCCCACTGTACCGAGTCCTGCCTCCAGGAGCTTTCCAGGAGCCTCCAGGAGCCTGTGCCAGACATCCAGCTGACCTGCTGCTTTTGGGGAGGTGCCTTTGCTTCATGCCACAGGAAGGTCCTGTGGGTGTCAGCAGTGTCAGCGGCTGCCAGCAGGAACAGCAGCAGCACATGTGGACATCCAGCCACACGTAGGCATTGTGTGAAATAAATAAGATCCTGAGGATGGAGACACCCATGTTGTATATATTCTGAGGAAGGAGGTGGTTTTCTGAGTCAGCTCTTGCCATGCCCTGTGGTACCTGCTTGCAGCTGCAGCATCCTGGATGCACTCCAAAAATGCATCTTCAAGTTTAGCTTGGTCCAAAAAGGATGTATTTAATGAACTTGAGTGTGACTAAAAGCACAGCAACTGCAGAGGCTTGGGCATGTCTCCAAAAGCACCTCCTGAGCTGCCCTGCATCACTGCTGTGGATGTGCCCACCCTGCCTGGTCCAGCCCTGCTGCTCCTGTCACAGACAATGTGTGGAGACCTCAGCTGCATCCCATTTGGGGGAAACCCACAGATCTCTAGCAGTAGCAGTAGCAGAGTTTAGAAATTTTATGGCCAACTAGAATACTGGGCACTGCCCTGGTAAGATTGGAGGGGATGAGAAATACACATTGTCACTATAGTATTTGTATCCATTTCATATAAAGAGCTTTCCAAGGATAATCATCATCAGCGAGTCCTTATGAAGTATTTCTGTAAGCAATAGCATGAAGTATTTCTGTAAGCAATATTTGATGTCTTTCATTAAAGCTCTGGAATAAAGTAAATAAAAATAGTTGGTAATAACTGCACATGGCACAAATTATCACATGATGAGGACAAGTTGCCCTGAGGAAATAGTTATCCATTTGAAAAGCTTTAGGAAAGAGGTGTAAGTCTCAAGACCTGAAAACCGAAAGCCATTGCAACAACAGACCAAAGGAACTGCTCTATTTAATTCATTAAGGAGAATTTTAAAAGCATTCCAATCAAGATCTGTAAATGATTAAATGTTGAGACACTAAACATAAGAAAGAAAGCACTGAATTTAAAGCTGCACAAACTCACGTAATAGGTAAGGCAGACATCAGCTGCAACAGGGCTTAATCATTAGAGCTGTTTACTGTGCATTGTAGAGGATATTCTATGCTTGAAATCTGTATCTGCCCTGGAAACATTGTGCTCATTACAGGACTTGCTGGTGGAGGTTTCTGGCCTGGTACTGCAGGAAGTTGGACTTTACCATCCAAGTGGTACTTTCTAAGCATCATATCCATGAAACCTGCACATGAGATTCTTACTGTTACATCCTTATTAACAGTTATTGAGGTATCTTTCTCTGATGGCTTCTTTGTCCTTAGCTGTGAGGATGTTCCTAATCTGGACACCCTTCCCGGGCATGTTAAGCACTCATCCATTTTAGGAACCCTTTGAAAATGGAGCATTTAAGAGTAAAGCTGTCATGGGGACTCAGGCACCAAACCATTACTTCAGATTGAACAGTTCAAAATGTTTATCTGCAAAAGCTCTCTTCTAACCCTGCAGATGTGTGGACTCCATGGGTGCCTCAATCCTTCTTCATAAATCCCTTCCATGGCTATGGAGAACAGCCCAGCTCAGGGTGGCTCTTCCAGGCTGTGAGGATGAGCCTTGTCCAGGGCCAGTGTTCACCTCCAGCTGGGGTGCAGCACCTTGACCCCAAACTGTGACACCGAAACAGCAGCTGTGACACCAGCCCCATTCTGCCCACAGGTGGGGGTTTATCCTACAGCCTCAGAATGAAATTTAAACCATGATCCCTGCAAATAAACCATCTTCACATCTCAAGCCCACTAAAATCTTTGCTCTAGTGGCCTTCTGTTTATTGCCATCTTAACCCATGGTCTTCTCTGAGAAACAACAAGAAATGTGACTCTCTGAGTGAGATTTGGTCCACATTTACCACTAACAGTTAATTAAAACATCCTACAGCAAGAGACTGAACCTCTGCTCCAGTCTAACTCACTTGTATTTTTATTTCTCTGTCCTTGTCAGATCCCAGAGCTGAGTTGGGGAAGGATAGAAAGGGAGAGCTGTGCTAGGAGGTTATCAGCTGAGTGGGATAAGGTCCCTTGTCACAGCTGTTCACCAGGGAAAGCACAAATTGGTCACTGCTGTGCAATAAAGTGCTCCCTGCAGTTCCCCTTACAATGTAGCATTGGTTTCCACACCCTAACTTTTTTTTTTCTTCCTGGTTTTGCTTTGGTTTCCAGAGTTTTTTGTTGCCTTTTTTTTTATGGTCTGCTAAACATTTCTATTCAAGGGTTACCACCTTTCATTTCAGTTGGGAACATGACTGGTGTGGCTCCTCCTTCCTTTTAGCTCCAGCCTCCCTGGGAAGACCTACAAAGACATTATGGCTCTTCTTCAGTTCTTATCATATTTCTATTTTGGGATAGTTTCCACGTGTGGATGCATCTTGTTCTGCTCCCCATTTTTAGCGAATAAGCTCTGCATCAGGAGTACGTAAATCCCTGGCAGTGTTGTCCGTCCAGCCTGGAGCCTTTTAAAGCTTACAGAAAAAACAAGCTTGTCCACCTTGCTAAATATATTCCTTTTCACTTCTAGGTCCTCCTATAGAGCCCCTGGAGCCAACCAGGCCTTTACCAACTCTTCCTGTTCGCAGAATTCACTCCACTTCGGAAAGAAAACACGAGAGACAGCCACGACCTCCCAGTCCTCCTCTGGGTGATAGGCCAGCTCTGCCTGGCTCCAAACCAAACATCTGTGATGGCAACTTTAACACTGTGGCTCTCTTTAGAGGAGAAATGTTTGTTTTCAAGGTACTGAGAATTCCCACTTACCCATGAGTCTTCCCTTCATTTTATTGCTGGAAAAGGTTAATGGAAGTATTTGGTAGTGAGATTTGAAATGTCTGAAAATAGCTCTGTTCCTCTGGGGGTGATGACTGAGCAATATTGGAAGGAAGTGTGAGCAGATTGGTTCTGTAATATTTGGAAACAGTGCCTGTTGGGATTTACAAAGTGCCCAAGCATCCTGTGCTCCAGAGTGTGAACTGGGTGCATTGGCAGAGAATTCAGACACCACCAAGCCTGAGAGGAACCACCTATAAAGCCAGGAAGCAATACCAGTACCACGAGTAACCATGGAATCCTAGAGTGGGTTGGGTTGGGTTGGGAAGGACCTTAAAGACCGCCTTGTTCCACCCTCTGCCATGGACAGGGACACCTTCCACTAGAGCAAGCCCCAACCAAGCTGGCTTGAAACACTCTCAGGAATGGGGCAGCTGCAGCTTCTCTAGGGGCAGGCCTCATTGTCTAGAGGTGACATGCATGGAACTGGGGCTCTGGGAGCACTCAGCCTACCTGGGGAGTTTGAGTCAACCTTGTAAACTACAGTCCTTTGCTCAATAACCCATTAGAGTACCAACAGAATATGGACATCCATGATCTCATTCCCAAAATACCACTAGTTTTCACTCTGCCCAATGGGTGTGAAGTGTGGAAAGGGACATATTGAAGGTTATTAAATGGACAAACCACATAAGTTGAAGAAGATTCCTGAAATTAAAACTAGTTGAAGGTGGGGATGGTATGTGGGAGAAGTGTCAAAGGTTCTGTCCTGCTCATGCTCATCCCTGAGCACCCACTGCAGCTTTAAGTAATGATCAAATATCTAAAGGGATATTTCATACTTCCTTTGTGCCTTTAAACCTTCTGTGTTTCACACAGTCACAAGGTGATGTTCAGGCTTTCTGGCTCTCCTGGGCTCCAAGAGCTAAGCTTCAACTGAACCAGGACAAGCCACAACACCTCAGTGACAAGACATGGAGAGGTTACAATGCTTACAGCTGTGGACTCGCTTTCCCCCTGCTCCTTTTTCCTCTTCTTCTTTCCACCCTTTTTCATAGCCCCATCAATCAACATTTCCCCCTTTGTGCTGCCATCTTTCCCCTACAGCACTTCCCACACTGGAGACAGTGTTGGGCTGGGTTGGAGTTGTCACCTGAAGCAAGACTCGTGTCTGTAATTGTTGTGGGGCCTAGGCAAGGATTAGCAGTGCTGGATGCAGGACCCAGCCAGGTCTGATGCAAGACAAAAGTACTCAGTCTCAAGAGGCTTCTGGTTTCCTCAGGATCGCTGGTTCTGGCGTCTGCGCAACAACCGGGTGCAGGAGGGGTATCCCATGCAGATTGAGCAGTTCTGGAAGGGCCTCCCTGCAAAGATCGACGCAGCCTATGAGCGCTCTGATGGCAAATTTGTTTTCTTCAAAGGTACAGTACAGTTCAGTATGAGCCAGCCACTCCTGCCTCAGCTCAGGCTGCTTTCATGGCATGAAAATGGTGAAAACAAGTACGCTGCACCCTTGCCCTTTTCTTAAGGGGGCACTTCAAGCAGCCACTGATCCTTAAAATACAGTTCAGTGTGGGCTGGCCTTGCCAGGACAATCTCTGATTAGAGTTATCATCAGTTCGGGGAAGTTTGCTTTCATGTGATAACAACAAACAGCTCCTATTTCCCAGGGAGTGCCAGTTCCCTGCTTATCTCCTTGAACACCTCTTGCCAGGTCACTGAGGCCTCTCCAGGTGCAGGGCACTCCCAAATCTCATTTCTGGACAATTGTCTCCTAAAGAGACAAAATTACCAACCTTGTGCTGGGGCCCTTTTAGCTCCTTGTATGGTGATGGCGCCTGAACAGGATCCTGTAACTTGAGAGCAAGTTGTGAGCAAGGAAGGGTGGCTGGAAAATATGGCCAGTGCAAAACCACAGTACCTGGGCTTCTGGATTAGTGTCTGCAACCTCAGTACCTCAGCTTTCTAAACTCCTAAAATTTGAGAGGCTCAGGGAAAGGTGACAGAAATGTCTGAAAAGCTTGGGCTGATCAACTCCTCAGCCTGAGCAAAGGATGGCAGCCAGGGAATGAGACAAGTCTGAAATCATGACTGCTATGAGAAGGTAAATGGGAAAGGGCTGTTCAACAGCTCTCCCAAAACAAGAGCTGAAGAGCAGCAGATGAAATAAAGTTCAAAATTAAGTGGACGAGCAGCTTTTTCAAAGATTACAGTTAAGCTTGGAAGCTCTTAACATGCTGCAGTTCAGTGTGGTTGTTTACGTTCATATCGATCCGACTCCTAACAAGACAATCTGTTTGTTGTTTGTGTCCCCACTACCTCTAGGAGATAAGTACTGGGTTTTTAAGGAAGTGACAGCAGAGCCAGGCTACCCTCACAGCCTGGTGGAGCTGGGGAGCTGCCTGCCCCGGGAGGGCATCGACACAGCGCTGCGCTGGGAGCCCGTGGGCAAAACCTACTTCTTCAAAGGGGACAGGTACTGGAGGTACAACGAGGACAAGAGAGCAACGGACCCAGGCTACCCAAAGCCCATCACCGTGTGGAGAGGAATCCCTCAGGCTCCTCAGGGGGCTTTCATCAGCAAGGAAGGCTGTATGTGTCTGCAGTCATTGCACCTGTCAGATCCGGAAGAGCTGGTCTGTGCTGGGAGCTGGGTGGTTGGATGTGGAGTGTTCTGAGTATTTCCTGATCCAGGAATCAAGTCTCAGAAGCCCTGGGGTCACCTGGGCTTTGTGAGCAGCAGCAGTCTGAGATCCTTCCTTACCCTCATCCCAACCCACACACTTCCTCAGCTGCTAAACTACATTGTGACAATCCAGCTCTGTGGGAATGGGACTTTTTCTGCCTCAATAGACCCTACCCAACTTTTCCTGGCTCTGGTTCTGGGGTTGCTGGAACTTACATTTCCTCCTAATTTACCTGAAGTGAGCTCTGGCTCTCTGCTAAAGGCTCCAGCCTGTCTGATGTTAGTAGTTAGCCTTGAAGTTATGCTCTGAGTAGGGGATTGGAGCTCCAGAGGCTCCTTCAAACACATTTCTTTCTCTGATTTGAAAATTTCCTCCTCCTCCAGTTAGGGAAAGAGCCAACAGAAGGGGCTTGTGCCATTGAGGCTGTGTTCAAATTTGGAGCTGCAGTGTGAGAGGAGGGCTGTAGGGCTGGGCCAGGCTGGAGCGATGGCAGTGAGAGTCAGCTAAGCTGGGGAACAGTGCAGGAGACCAACACTTTTACCACAGCTGCCTTCTGTTCTCTTTTTTTCTAATATCTTGAGAGTCATTAGAAAATGGGTCATCTGGGGAGAAAGAGCTTCCAACAACACATAGCATAAAGCATCACCCTTTTATTAGCAGCAGGACAACACTGCTCCTTAACACATGCCAAATCCTTGGGATTCTGTGGCGAAAGGACTCATCTTACTCAGCATTTGCTCCCTCAAGCTGAATGAACTGAAACAGGGTGTTCTTCCAAACACAGTCATACCCAGGCACATGCTGGCACCCTGCAGATGATGTTAATCACTTAGTAATGATGAACACATACTTACAGATGCCTTAGTAAAAAATAATTCACTGCAGAACCCTTCCTTTAAAGATAGTAGGGTTTTCTTTTTTAATTCTCAGCTTGTCTTGGCCAAGGGAAATGGTATTCCATGGGCAATGGTGAACATGCTAGCCAGGGTTACAGCTTCTCCTTTAAATCCCAGCTCCAAAATCACCTTCACTTTCCAGTGGCTTGGGAATGTTCTGGGTAAATGTGTTTTATTGACATAGGTAGTGTCCATCTTCAGGTTGTCCATACTCCCTTAATGTCCTCCCACAAGCACAGCTCATTAATGGGAAATAGTGAGAAATACTCTCTGTTTTGTCTCCTAGTTTACACCTACTTTTACAAAGGGAAGGAGTACTGGAAGTTCGATAACCAGAGGCTGAGTGTGGAGCCAGGCTACCCCAGGTCGATCCTCAAGGACTGGATGGGCTGTAACCAGAAGGAAGTTGAGCGGAGCAAGGACCGGCGCCTCCCGCACGATGACGTGGATATCATGGTGACAATAAATGACATGCCCAGCACTGTCAATGCCATTGCAGTGGTGATCCCCTGCATCCTGTCTCTGTGTATCCTTGTCCTGGTATATACAATCTTCCAGTTTAAAAACAAAGAGGTGCAGCAAAATGTTGTGTACTACAAAAGACCTGTCCAGGAATGGGTATGACACAGCCTGCTGCACATTTAAACTCACTGAGCTGATGAGGACTATGGACACACACAAAAAAGAGGAAAAAATGCATTGAAAAGCCTACCAAACAAAACTACTTCAGTGACCTACAAGTTTTGGACACCCTGGGATGGAAATAAGCAGGAAAACTGGAAAAAATACAGGCAGGCAGCCCTGCAGCATGGAGCCTCTTTCCTTTGTACTGCTTTGGTCACCTGCCAGTCACGGTGCCATCCACCGGCTCGCTCTGCCAGCACCAGAGTCTTCAAGACAGGTTTCAACTGATCTGGGAAACTCCTTCAGTTCCCTGCACCAGTGCTCCCTGTTAAACCCAGCATTCTCCAGTGTAGCTAAACCACCTCTGAACAGAACCATTTTTTAATAGCTGTCTCATAAATGAATTAAGATCATGAAATCTATGAACACGAACGATTTCAGTGTCATAAGAAGAAGACATTCTGATGCTGAATCATTCTAAAAAAACCTTCTTAGTTTATTAAAAAATCCAGGGATCTACCTGGATACAATTTTCCAATACCTGCTGGTCAGATGTTTTGTACATCCATAACTAATCAATGCTGCCACTCAGCACAGTGCACGAGGAACCACGGAGCACTCAAAGAGGTACCGGAGTGCGGAGCAGAAGCTCAAGAAGCACCAAACCAGACCTGGCAACATCAATCCCTAGACTGGGACAACCTGAATACAAAAAAAAAAATGGGTCTTAAAAAAAAAAAAAAAATCATGGTTTTTGTTTTGGGAGCCACTCATGAAAGAAATACTTAAATGTCATGTAAGTTGGTTTAAGCTCCCTCCAGCAAGAACCCAGGAATCAATGGTTACCAAAATATGGGGAATGTGTATAGACAGACTGCACTCTGCCCGTTCAGATGCTGGGAAAAGATGAGTTGTTGTTCTGTGGCATGTGTAACTAGATTGTGGAATTTGTATGTTGGGTTTCGGGAGAACAGAAATGTTTGTTTGGAGTGAGGTCGTCATTATATTTTGCTGAAATAATCAAGGTTCCGTAAGTATTAGGCCTGTTTATAAAACCAAATCCAACCCCTGTAGATGTTACAAACATTGTATGCCTTCAGAATTTGGGGGTTTGTTTCGCCCACTTCTTCATAGGCAAATATTTGGCAAGGACCAAAGGAAGCATGCCACACAGTAGAATGAGTTTACCATGCTTGACAGAGCCATAAGAATCAGGTAAAGGCAAGAAAAATACCTTAACTTTCAGCTAGTGACTTTCCACAGATCTCTTCCTACAACAGTAGCTTCTGCTTATCCTTCTTACAGTTGTGAGTGGTTCAGGACATTTTGCCCTAGCCACAAAGTTTTGATTTTCATGTTGATGCTGATATTTTTACCATGTTGAATAAGAGTGAAAGAGCCTTTTGCAGTGCAGTGTTAACGGTGAAGTCCAGCACTATACAGAATGCCATCCATGTCAGCACAGGAATTGCTTTGCCCGCTCACCATGGGGAACAGGTGATTAACCTAAACCCTCTGCCTATAACTGAATTTTATTGAGTGCAATGAAGTGCAATGCACAGAATGTCCACTTAGTATAGAAAAAGTACAGCTTTGTAATGTCAGCTCTGAAAAAAAAACCCAATGACAACAAACACACTAAAAGTATTCCTAATTACAATGAGGAACAAAGCAGCAGAGAGATCGTTAGCATTCCAGATTGCTAATTAGTGCTCAAATATTGCTCTGGTGAAGCAGGATAGACACATAGATTAGTCTGGTGAAGCCCACTAGGACTGCATTAACATGTAGTCTCAAACTGTATTTTGTCCTTCATAACTGATTTCCATAGCCAAGCTGTTTATTGTGTTTAAACATAAACTATTACCAACATATTACAAAGTAAGTGAGAAGCTCGTAGATGCGAAACTTTGAACTGTAGTGACAAAATGTGCTAACGTCTCATGATGAGTGAAGGAGTGCGAAGGACCAAACGAAATCAGAGCTCCTGATCAGACACCCCACGCCACTCCGCGTTGCTCTGTGTACCAGGGGTGTGGTGGGACACCCCACGGCCACCTGGCACCTCGGTCTCATCTGTACGCTGCCATCTCGCCGGGACTGCAACAGCCCAAACCTTTGAGCAACTTCCAACAGCCATCATTTAAAAAAAAAAAAATTAAAAAAAAATTGACAACTGAGAGCAATGTCTGGGTTTGTTTGTATTTTCTCCCCCTTGCCCCAAAGTTAGGTTTTTGACCTGCCCAAGGAACGAGCAGTGCAGTGCCTGGGCAGGCAGGAGGCTGAGCCCTGTGCCCATGGTGCCTGCAGCAAGGTGAGCTGCTGCCCTGGGCTGCCAAAACCCAGCCTCAGCTGCTGTTCCACAGAGCCACAGAAATACCCCAGGGCCTTTTCTGCGTGCCCCGTGCCTGGCTCCTGGAGCAGGTGTTACATATGGGAGTTCCCAGAGGGTGAGGTATTCCAGGTGTTCAGGGTGTGACAACAGCCCTCTGCAGCCACAGGGGGCTGCAGGAGTGGAAGAAGCTTTCCTCCAGCACAATCCCGTTCATTATCACCTCTGTTTTGCTATGATCATCCCATGGGCAGTCCTGGGGTAATTTCTTATGTAAGAGACAATTCCTACCCGTGAGCTCTTCGCTGGGATCCTGTGTTGTGCTACAGAAGCACTGGACTCACTGCCCATCAGCCTGGCCAAAGCTCTCTGTGGGCCGGGGCTGTGTTCCAGCTCCTGTCCAGAAATGCAGGACATATTGTTCCCACACGGGAGCAGGGATCAGCATTGCTAATTTAACTCTAACAAGCAAAAGGCTGTTGTGTGTTCCTGTGATCTTGCTCTGCAGCACGGGGATTTGGACAGCCCAGGGACCTTGGCACACTCTGGACGAGCTGCCAGCCACACCCACTATACTGCACTCAATATTCTATTTTTTTCCAGTTTTTGACTACTTTGAATAAGTTCATCACCATTCAGGATCATTGTTAAAGACATTTGCTGGGATACATGATCACTACATTCACAAAAGCTGGTCCTCCACTAAGATAGATAAATTATTGCTAACTTACAATGCGTCATTAAACCTCAAGATCTCCACTCATAATGTGAGGACTCGGACATTTAGAAACCTCTGTAAAAGATCCTGACAAGTTTTTGGCTATTAAAGCACACACAGCTACACACCCCAAGACCTTCCCACTGAACCCAGAGTTATGAGATTTCCATTTCTCCCTCCTGTCACATTCACCCCAGGGCTAAATTCCAGCCCTTCTCACAGTATCACGTATTTGTCCAGCACTCCTAAAGTTTCTCTGATCGTTCCTGCAACCCTTCCCAGCACCCAAAGTAACACGTTGTCTTTGACTGCCTGATGGCAAAGGTGCCAGGTGGCTTTACTCATGTTACATAACCCACACCTTTGTAGCTCAGCAATTTAAGAATCCCAAGAACCTGTGGGAACCCGCCCTGGGAACGTACAATTTGATTTTATTGACTATTCCTTAACACCTCATGGCATCAGCATCACACATGCTGTGCTGCCTTGAAGATGAAAGCACATGGAAAAGGGGCAGTCAGGGGCTGCATTGTGCTTGTGTCCCAGGCTGTCATGCCAAGGGCCTGTCACCTGGAATCCTGCCTTTCTGGAACCCTTCACCTGGGCTCTCATTTCACCCTTGCTGTGACACAGTGCTGCACTCAGCCTCCTCCTCAGCATCCTGCTCCTGCCAGCTCTGGCACTGCAGGGCAGATTTCAGAACAAGCAATAGGCAGCAGCATGAGAATATCACCTCTCCTTTCCCCAACCTCTTTTGGACTTTTGAGAACCAAAATTTAATGGAGATGAGCATTACCCCAAATCTATTTGCAGAAACACTTGGCAACCACTGTGCAAAACTTGCATCTCATCTATATATAGAGTTCAGGATAAAGATGCATCATGGATTTCCAGCTAATGCTACTTTGGGCTGTTTGGGCTTTGCTTTCCTAATTAGCTCCAGACATTGGTTGCTTTCTGGACCATTACTGAAGCCAGAGCACACCTGTTCCAAGATAGACCTTCAGGCAGGAATGTGCTCTTGCACTGATCAGAGTTCACAACTACTGGGTGAAATTTGGATTCTTAACCACAATGTGCTTCACTTCACACTCAGCTGCACTGAGTTTCCCCTTCTATCCAGTCCTCATCCTCACTAGTCAGTCAGTATGGCAGAAATTCCCTGCCCCAATCCATGGACTTTCCTAAACCAAACAAGAGTGCTTTCCTCATTCCATGGAATCACTCCTCCAGGGTCCCCAAATGCCTTTGAGCAACTTCCAACAGATTTTTTGGGCACAAAATCCTGCTAAATGCCTTTTGAAAATACAACAGTACAAGAGACCTTCTCCCTATCCCTGTGGACTCTAAATTTAAAGAGCTGCACAGATCTTCTGCCACTTAACTTGCTATTTAACACGTTTATCCTCTCTCATGATCCATGTTTCTAAATTCATCTTTATTATAGTTTGTTTTCCTTGTACACAGGTCCATCTCACTAGCTCAGGACACCCACAGACCCACATTTAAAACAGGTATCACATTTGTTCCACCCAAGAGCTAAGCCCTGTGAGGTAGCCAAGGGGAAGCAGCTTCTCACTCTAAATACTGAGAGAGGCTGAGAGAAGACCTGGAGCCAAGACAGGTGGTGCATATTAAAGGTTTGATATCTGATCACAGACGATCATGGCAATCTTTATTTTGAAGGAGTAACCTTTTATCAGCCAAATCTTACAAAGCCTTCCCTGAACATGCAGACAGTAAAACAAAAATGGAAATTTACTCAATTTTCTACAAAGCTCAAAGCACCTGGGCTGAAAAGAGCTCTGCCCATACAGCCCACAGGTCATCATTCCCCAAGAGAACTCAGCTGAGAGCAAAGGCAACTGTGTGGAGACAAGCAAGAGCTTCCTCTTACCCTCAGGATGGGAAATGCAGGCACTTCTATGCCTTCAGTACATCCTTAATGGGCAAGCAGGAAAGCAACTGAAATGAGATATCACTGAGCAACAGCTGTGTAGAAAGAAATTACAATCTTCTGCCTGAAAGTAGCACCTACAGCTGCTTTCATCTGGCACAGACAGAGCTCTTCATGAGGAAGCTCCCAAATCTGTAGCTTTTGACTGACTGACTGCTTAAAACCGTGCTATTTAACCTTTGTCTCCAAGGTCACTCCAGATAAGGTGGTCCAAATCTATTGGGATTTGCTGATTTCTAAGAGCTTCCCATTGTAGAAGGTGAACACCTGCAGGACAAATTAAGCCAACTGGCAAGTGTGCCTTTTGAGCCCTCTCCTGCAGGTGCCTCAGAAGCAGCACAGGTGACACCAGGTCAAACATTGGTCCAAGGACTCCCACATTGTTACTGTTAAAAGTCCTTGGATTGACACTCCAGTTTTCATCCAAGCTAATCACTTCAGAATCACCATCCCATGGGAACAGCTGCAAGTCAGGGCAAAAGAGCAGGTGATGATTTTTGAATTTTGTGGCAAGTAAACTACTGTATTTTTGGTGCTGGAGATACAAAGGGGTCTTACATGTACCTAGAGCAGAAACACCACTCAAGCAGGAGTGTGGAAAGAGGGCAGCACATGTAATGCCAAAACAAACTGCTGTGCAGCACACACTGGTGCAAGACTTAAGGCAAAATAATCTCTAGTGATCAACACCCAAGAGCCACAAGAGTAAATATTGTGGGGGAATTTGAGAGACTCAGTTGGCATCACAAAACCAGAAAGCAGAGCTGAAGAACTGAGAAACAGGATAGAGAGCATTCCTTATTTGTATCTTATGCATGTTATTTGTCAGTTTTTGTGGTAACAGTTTACAAAAGATGACAAAAATTTAGTTTTGTAGCCTCTCCTTTGGGCCAGGCCTGTAGAAACATCATCAGAAGGTCTGGATGTCTGTGATCCAAAGTGCAGCTCAACACTTCACTCCTTAGGAGCTTTCTGGGAAGTAGGAACCAACACTGCTCATGTCAGGCTAAAAGACAAAACAGAAAGAAGATTTAGTTATGTCAGAATGCAGAAGGCATTTCAAAATACCAGTTTCAGTCAGCCCTCACTTTCCCACTACAAAGGCGCAGAAGAAATTTCCCTTCCTAGAAAAGGACTTACGAAAAGAGGGAACAGCCAGCCACAGGATCAAACCTCTCAGGCTGGCAAAGGCAAAATGCACATTCAGCCTGGCCCAGGTAATGGTCTACAGCTCAGAGCAGGTTTAATTACAGGTCTGATATGTTCAGAGACATCAAGACTTTGTACCCAAACTGTAACAGAGCAAAGAATAATTTAAAGTGCTTTCCACTGAAGGAACTCCTTATGACATAAACAATTCCCTGATTGTGGCTGAGAACTCAGCAATCAAGTTACAATGCTCAGGAAGTTCAGGAACGCACTTTCAGCACCACATCAGTTGTGCTCAGGATTGTAACTCAAGGCCCAAAATCAGTTCCCACACGACATTCATCTATGTTTATGCCTAAATGTAAAAACTTTTGCTTATGAAAAACATTTACACACATTAATGAATGGGGAAGGTCCCATATCATTATCACTCCAGACAGAAAACAACACCTGCCTCACATTAAAAAGTAACTTGAACAAAGCCTTTAACAAAAAGGCTTAAAAAAAATTCAAATTAGCAGTTTTAAATGTAAGAGGTTTATGGCAGCAGCACCTGACAAGTTCCACAGTCTTTTTGGCTCCAGAAATGGTTATAGCAAGCATTTGAAATAACAGTTGAATAACTACAGTGATCTAAAGCCAAGATGACAAAGTCACTGCTATTTTAACTTCTAAAACAAGATTTGTTTTTAAAAAAACCATTCATGCTATAGCTGAGCACTGAACAGTTAGGAAAGATCTGACACTGAAATCTGAGGCAGATGTTAGTTCTCACAAAAAGAACTCTCACTACAACAGAATATTCCATAACCCAATGAGTAACTACTGCCAATAACCAACAAAAGGGGAGAAGTGAAAAAATTATAATTAAAGCAGATAGATAACTGTGAAACCAGCTGCTTTTATAATAAAATCTTGCCTGTTCTGACCACGATTCTGCCCAGAGGTGGATCCTCCCTACCTGTCAATCAGGGAATCCCTCATGTTGGTGGCAATGGTGCTTGGCTGAGCCTCGTTGAGCCTGAAGATG